GTTTTCGACACGACCATCTTTGGCGATTTTTTTTTTTTTTTTTTTGCATAGCTAAATGCCCTGAATATTTTTTCTAAAGTTTTTTTTGCGAGTTCTTTATGATGTGAGGTATGCGCCTATAAATTTTCAAGTCATGCAAAACTCACTAAAAAAGTTTCAAACAATAATAAAATTATTTAGACCCCGAACGAAAGTGAAAACAAAAAGTAAAAAGTGGAAAAAAAAATGGGCGAGCATGTTTTGACACCGCTATCTTTGGCGATTTTTAATTTTTATTTGGCTGAGCCAAATGACTTGAAAATTTATAGGTGCGTACCTCACATCATAGAGAACTCGCAAAAAAAACTTCAAAAAAAAAAAGAAATTTTGGCCCCGAAATAATTTTTGGCGGCGGCCGAATGCCGTCGGGTTCGGGCCTTGTACGGGGCCCCAAACACCCGTACGTACGGAGGTCTGCCCGGCCCCTTTGTACGTACAGGTTGGTGACCCTGATTATATATATATATATATATATATATATATCATACCTGCAACTACACGAGCCGCACATTCGTGCGGAGTTCCGTGTGGGGGGTGCCTGTGCGAAATCGTGAAGGTTTTTTATTTTTATTATTATTATCTTACCTATTTTGGTAGGGGGAGCTGTGGGGCGTACGATAGGAAGATGGGGATATGGCGAGGAGAGGGGGATATGGAGAGGAGGAGGAGGACGACGAGGATAGCGAGGACGACGAGGAGGAATCGAGATGGGGGAGGAGAAGAGATGGACGGAGGGAAAAGAGGAAGGGCAGGAGGAGGAGGAGTGGCAGGAGGAGAAGACATGGACGATGAGGAAGGGGAGGACACGAGGAAGGGAAGGAGACGAGGAGGCATGGAAGATGAGGAAGTAGGAAGAGGATGAGGAAGAGGAGGAGGAGGAGGACGAACAGGAGGAGGAGTAGACGAAAAGGAGAAGGGAGGAGGAGACGAAAAGAAAAAGGGAGGAGGAGACATGGAGGATGAGGAAGGGAAGGAGGAGACGAAAAGGAGAAGGGAGGAGGAGACATGGAGGATGAGGAAGGGGAGGAGGAGCAAGGTGAGGCAGTACTCCTGTATTTTTTTTTCTTCATCTCGATTATAATTTTGGCGACGGCACTCAAACCCACCGTTTCAACCCCGACCTTTTTTTTTCCCTGAGGGGGCGACGGGTCGTTCCCCGCACACGATGTGCGCCGCACGGGATCGGCTGGGCTCGTGCGCCGCACGTACGGAACTGCCCGCACGACGTGCGCTTGCAAGTATGATATATATATATCATCACATAAATATATATATATATATATATCTGTTTGTGACGATATATATATATATTGTATAATGATTCACTACAAACATTGCAATTATTTGTTTCTCATACTTCAAACCAACATTAAAACAATGTCAAAAAGTAGCTAAGGATCCCGATC